ATAAGAACAACTTTCTTTTATTGTGGATGAACAAGTTTTTCTAAATTGTTTAATGTTGCTTTCATTAATATGAGATTCAATTTCTCAGAAGGACATCACAATTCTCTTTCACACCATATAATTCTCGTCTTTATTGTACCGGTGATCATCAACATCCACTAACTTGAAGGATAAGACATTTCGCCCCTAATAAAAAAAAACAATGGTTTTCGATTTACTTACTCAACTCAATTTGAATGGAGTCTGAACATATCAAAATGCAAAAGGGTTTACTCCTTTCACATTCCTAATGTAGCCTCACAAAAAAACTGGATTCTTATAATTGGGTGAAAACACACCCACGGTGATGGATGAAGTTTGAACTCAAGACTTTACGGTTTAAGAGTAGTGGTGGTGATCATTAGACCAACAATTAATCTCATAAAAAAGTAAAATTATTATAAAACCAAATATACGATGAAACTTGAGAATTTTGAAATTTTAGAAAGAATAAAATAATAGTTAAAATTCTTTACCTATACAATGCAAATCCATAGAACTTCAAGTTAATTTGATTAAAAAAATTAATTAAGAGATAAATTTTGGTTTAATGGTAAAACAATGTTTTTTTTTTCCAAAATTTATTTGGATATAAAAAACCTTGGAAAACTTGATTCTGGGGTGGAATGACAAAAAAGTGGGAGTTGACTTTTTTTTTATGGTTATCATTCCTTCATTTATCATATTTGTGATTGTTTTTGATGATGCATAAATTGATATTATGTACCAACTGTTGAGTAATTAGTAGTTAATGCAGTAATTAAAAAGAAAGAAAGTAACGCAAGTAAGATAAAGATGTATAGTGGTTCGGTCAACGTGACCTACTCCACTATGAAAGATTAGGATGACATGGTGTTTTATTACTTTGGGGAGCAAAAGAGGATTAGGAGAGAGCAATGGAGGTACAAGCTATGAGAGAGAGAGATGAGAGTGACAGCCGATATGTTTGATGTCCCCCATATATTAGCGGGACTTACAATTTATAGTGTCTCTTAACAGACTGAGGCGCATTTTTAATAACTAAGTAACTAATTTATGGAGCTGGCGTTATTCTCTCAACGACTGATAGTTACGTAGCTCCCTTTAAGATCAAGCCAAAGGATGACGTGGTTGATTTTTTCTAAGGTAGCGTGGTTAAGACTCTTGAAATGGCGCTGCTTACTCATTGGTGATGTAGCTTCTTGAATCTAAATGAGCCAAATTGGGGGTGGGCCTCCTTTGAGTTGGACTTATTGAGTTTCATTTGGGCTCTTTATTTAAACTGGGCTCATAATTTGAATTGAGCCCTTGGATTGACCCATCAATTTCTACCACATTTATGAATACTTTGATCATTTTTATGGTATCAAAAAAATGGTAAAAATAATTACCACAACTTTGATAAAAACATCTATAACAGTTGTAAAAATATCGATAAATGTGATAAAATCACTCACAAAAATGATAATTTTCTTTTTGCAAAAAATGGTAAAAATAATTACTACAAACGTAATAAAAATATCAACAATAATGATAAAAAAATAGCAACAAAAGTGATAAATCACTCACAAAAATAATAAATTTTTTAGTTATAAAATGATTTACAAAATTTATAAAAATACCTATTAAATAATTAAAGTTAGAGGGATAGTACCAAAATTTTATCATCGGTACCATATTTAAGTCCAAAAAAATGTGGAATAGTATTATTAAATGCGTTTTCAATCACATTAGTCCCCAAAAACATAAGAAAAAGAAATGGACCAAAAGTCAAATGTTCTCATTTAGCCTTGCAAGCCTAATCATAGCATGACCTGGTTCTTTCTTTGGCATTCCCAGCCTTATTACCCTCACCTTTACAGGAAAAAAGGGTAAACTATTATACTTTTTCCCCTTCCATATAGGTGTTACTTGCAATTAACCCCAAATTGTTTCAATTACAACATATATTTCATCAAAGTTTGAATTAATCCTTCTCCTCAACTGTTGATCATCAAATGTGAGGAAAATTGATCACATGAATATCACATGCTCCAATACTTATCCAAAAATTTACAATTATCTATCATTTCTTAACATAAAATCCCCTCTCCATGACTAGTTCCCCAAACGAGCACATTGCAATCACTTAATTTTTCTCAATTGCACAGTCACAACCAACACAAACCCTAAAACACTTAGCTACTCTCTCCAATATTGCGATCATCGTACATATACATCGAAAGTAAATAAGATATATTTATCATTCTCGTTTTACTTGTATGTTTTATCGCATGAACATATAAAGATATGCTTCTCTTTATGTGTCTACAATAGGAAATATACGACATGAAAGACTAAAGGGTACCAAAGTGATATTGAAATGTCGATATGCCCATTAGATAATTTGAACAACCTTAAACTTTAGGGGGGGCTCATTTAATGGAAATGAAACTACAAGAGACCGATTGCGGATGATCCTAAATGGAAGGGTGAAAGTGTAATTTAATCACACCAAACGTATTATATCTATCTATATTCATATCTATACTACTAATAAAAATACATTAATTTAAAATTTTTTTGAATATCTATTTTACTCTTATAAAGGATTGCAAAAAACATTCGATTTTTTTACAATTAAATATATAAATTATCATTATATCATTATATATTTAAATCTCTAAATTATCTATAACATTTCTTTTAACTGTCCATTCTCTATGTATCAATTTTTATGAAAAAAATTGATTGACTATAATACCCTTAAAAAAATACGTTATTATATTTTTAATAAACTATTCAAAAATTTCATCAATATAATATTACTTATCTTAACAACGATAACATTACGTTTACATATGTGTATTTTATTTTCATTAAAAAGTTTAACTCTTTCAATTCTAAAATAAAAAATAATCGTCTATACAGTTTGTTTTTATAAATCAATTTATGTTATATCAATATAATTCTATAGTTACAATAAACTTTTTAAGTTGAATTAAGATTTTATGAAAAAATAAATATTGTATTGTATTTTTAAGTAAAATTTGAATTTTTTAAAAATTTTAATGTGCTTGATAATATTTATATAATAAAGTAAAATACAATTCAAATTTCAAAAGATAAACAAAATGACTTTTGTTTTTTACGATTGAGATCTCTTTAAATTTCACTTTAAAGTTAATCCGACGGGTAATATTAATACCTCAAATTTAATAGAAAAAATAGCTCCCTAAATTTGTGTTTGGGGGTGACTTTTTAAAAGTGATTATAAAACTTATAACTTCTTATAACTACTTTTAAAAAAAAAAGTAGTGTTTAGAATCGCCTCACCACCACCACTATCACCATCAGCACTACCACCATCATCATTACCACCACCATCGCCACTTTACCTCCACTACCACCACCATCATTTTTACAATCACCATCACACCCACCGCTGCTACCATCCTACCACCACCATTATCATTGTCTTTGCCACGACAACTACCATCGCCTCACCATCACAACTGTCGCTATCACCACCACCATCGCCACAGTCCCTATTACTGTCACCTTACGACCCACCACCACCATCCTTACTACACCCACTCCCACTACCACCACCATCCCTACTACTACCACCGACATCCTTACTACTGCACTCCCACCATCACCATCACCACCATCGTTGCTGTCACCCTACCATCATTGTTGTCGTCCCACCATCACCACCTACCACCCCCACCCCTACCACCACCACCACCCCCATTACCCCACCATCACCACTATCGTCGCCACCCACCCACTATCATCGTCATCTCATTCTTATATCTATTATCACTACCACCATCATCTTACTACTAGCGTTGTTGTCCACCACCACCCGTCGTCGTCCACCATCGTCATTAGCCATTATCACTCACTCCCACCACACTTACCACCACCGCTATTCATTATCACCCCATCACACTGTCGTCCAGAAACATCTGTCGTCACCCACCACCACTATCACCACTACTACCTACCACCGCCACAACCACCGTCGTCACTCTACGACTACAACTAGCAACAATCATCACCGTTGTCCACCACCACTCACACCCATCACTACCACTACCGTCACTCATAGTTGTTATTACCACCATTATTGCAATCACCCACAGTTGACACCACCATTATGGTTGTTGTCACCGATCACAACCATTATCATCTCCTACCACCACTACTGTCGCTCACCACCTCTCACTCTCACTACAAACGGTACTTAAATTTTTCTCTCTTTTCTCTATGTTTGTGATTTAATTTTGGGTGTGTATACAAATATATTTATTATTGATCATTTTTTTATTATTATTATGTGTTTTCAGGCACAGACAATAATTAGTAACATATTAAATCTTATCCTAATTGACCTAACTAATTCCTAATTACAGTAAGGTTCTAATGTGATTAATATATTGACAATTACTTTTATTTTATTTAAAGAATTATAAGTAGAATCCTAATTAAATAAATTTCAAAAAATTTAATTTCTTATACATCACTAAAAAATTATTTTCAATCACAAAATTTTAAAAAGATAGAATTTTAACTATTTCTTTTTTTATATAGTTAGAATAAAGAATTTTAAAAACATACATTTTTTCATAATTTTATAATAAAATATGAATAATAAAAATTAAATTTAATAAATTTGAAATAATATTTATTTTAAATACAAATATATGTAATACATTTTACTAATTTTTGTATACAAAAATCATTCGCACACTCATGCGATGTATTGCTAGTTACAAAAAAAAAAGTCCTTATTCCCCCTTTCCAAATTATTTCCTAGCGTGTCCCCTCCTCTCTTCTCCATTTGAAAAGACTAAACACGTGCGCCACCCCCCACATTTACAGGAGTGGAAAAAACCGCGAAATGGCACTCTCGTAATTTACTCTTCATCCATGGGCAAACTCAACCCACACCCATATTTAGCTCAACTTCCCCGACACTAAACCCCTCATTGATTCAACTCGTACATCGGTCAACTCGGTCCACCACCGGTTCACTACCAATCAATACGCCACCGGCTCGTCGAATCCAAACCCGGTTCTTCGATTTTCCGACTGAGCAACCCCCCAAAACGGCGTAGTTTTTTGTTTCGGTATGACGTCTGGGACGAGGCTTCCGACATGGAAGGAGAGAGAGAACAACAAGCGGAGGGAGAGGCGGCGACGAGCGATCGGCGCGAAGATCTTCGCTGGACTGAGGATGTACGGTAACTATAAGTTGCCCAAGCACTGTGACAACAACGAGGTCTTGAAGGCTTTGTGTAACGAAGCTGGGTGGATTGTTGAAGAAGATGGTACTACCTATAGAAAGGTAAGAACCGCTCAATTCACCAATTCTCTCTCTCTCTCTCTCTCTCTCTCTCTCGATTTTGTTCGCTGGTTTGAAGTGCGTCGTTTAGCAACGAGTTGGGTATGGGGTAGAGAAATTGAGACGGCGATAATGGATCTGTAATCCTTTTTCATTTTTTGGTATTTGATTTGTTTCCTTCGAAAATAAATAGAAAAGTAGGTGATATTAAGGATAGCTGTGGATTCATAGTTTTATGATTTTATCAAACTCCAATATGCTAAAGTGCGCTGGGTACATCTGGCGTATGCTATCGCTAGGAAGATTTGCATAGATAAGCTTTTGATTTGCAGCACTGAGAAAGTCCCCTCTCGTTTGTGTTGCGCTGTTTGATAACGTGCGCGATGCATTTGGCGTATGTTAGCAGGAGAACGAATCAGAGGTGTGAACTGTAGGTATTGAAAAGTAAACATGCGCGATCGTCTCTGGTGAGAGCATCTTCATGCTGAGTTGACGGTTCAGATCGGCTGAGTCTTTTGTCCTCCCGGCGTACGATAGATCAGTGGGACTGTGATTTTCTATTGAACGCACGAAACACAACAAGATTCTCTCTGCACGTGTAAATAGCAATCCACAGTCCGAGAGAAACTAAACTGAACCACAACGCGGGAGATTGTCCAATAGACAACATTGCCTCTCATCATTTCCACAATTCTCTTCCCCTAACCCCCACCGGAGCTTGTACATTTGTAATTCTATAGGGCTAGTTTTGTCATTTGAAGTACTAATTCATCTCCTTTCTTACTATCTCGGAAGTGCGCGTGTGTGAGAGAGAGAGAGGAGATTAAGGTCTGGTTATGGCATCCAAGAATAATTTTTTAGCATAATACCTTCACTTTTTAATAATTAATTTTTTATAACTTTTATTTTATTATCTTATATTACTTATTTATTTTTAAGATCAATGATTATACATCAAACCAAGATCAACAATTCTTGATTAGTTTTGATATACCGACCAAAAAAAAAAAAGATTAATTTCAATATGCAAGTGATATTTATATTTTTGTTGAGGTTCTGTATACTTATCCCAATAATAATTTTTTTTTGGGTATTATACCTAAAATAATTGTAATTATAAGTTATTTATAATTATGACAATAATAAAGCAATATTATAAAATTACAAAAATTATTTTTTGGGGCTTTGTAGTGAAGCATGGAGTGTGGGCCCTTGCTGTTTTCTATTGGGTTTTTGTTAGTGTTTTTTGTATGGTTAAAGCATAGAAGAAAGAGAAAGTATGATATCAAATCTTTGGATTCCCCAACTTTTTAACGTTTTTTTTTTATGCCGTAGAACGTGTGGGCTTAATTTTGAAATTCAATGAATTGAATGAGGAAGCTGTAGCTAATTGGTAGGGGAGGTAACTTGTCGTGGGGAGCAATATAATCATGGTTGACATTATTAGCTTCCTTTTTAAAAGTTTTGTGTAGGCTATAGTTGACAATAAGTATTTTTTTTTAGTAAATTGTATTTTGGCCCCCTTAACTATGACCATAGTCTCACTTAGTCCCTATCAACTACTTGAATTGGTTATTCATTCACCCAAATATCAAAACTTTCGTCATGTTTGGGATGGAAAATGTCTACATGTACAATATGTGTTTTTAATGTCCTAAACATAGTTGGTGATGCAACCTGAGGAATATGATAGTTGAGGGGGCAATGTGGGTTCGATGATAAACCATCATAGTTGAAGGGGTAGTGTGAGATAGGGAATATTTTCATTGGAGGGGTGTTAGCGGAGAACTAGAGTTATACACATCTACATTTTTTGTCAGAATTGATGATTTTAGGCTTTCCACACTAGAACCCTGCTGTTGTTGCATTATGCATCAGAGATTCAGAAGTTTAGATTTTGGTATTCAGGGTGGCTTCCATGTGGGCCTCCAAAAGTGCTGAACATTATTTGTGATGAAAAGTATCTGGATTACTGTTTTCTCACAGTATGATAACCTTCTGCAAAGTAGTGGATGTTGCGGATCATGGCACATCAGTGTTTGATGGATTGAGATGCAGTTACTGATGGATCTTACCTGGTATTGCTGACAAAAATGGTTTGTTGGTTTCATGCTTTTGGTCATGTGAATCTAAACAAATTATGTGGATGCTTATATGGTCCAAATAATTGGGAAGATTTGTGATGGCCTAGTGGTGTTACCATGGGGAACATCATGATCCATGGTTGTGATATGAGTCTCCTATTCCCTCTCTCCGGGTGTGCAACTCCTATATTATAAAGTAATTTGTAATCATTCCTAATCTCTAACAATAAGAAAAGAAAAAGTGACCAAATACTCAATTCCTCCTTTTATTATGGTTGATTTCCTTTTGTGGGATCCATTAGATTGTGGGATCCCTTTTTATTTATGTTGATTGGCAAAGTTTTAATGAACTAGAGGAAAGCTGCAAAGCATGAGTTTGCTTGACCTTCACAGAGCCCGATTCAAATGGTTTACACAAGGGGGACCTTGGCCTGTCAGCAATAAGATGGCTCTATATCGACTTTTAGCTTCAATGTGTAAATGCTTGTGCATTGGTGGAAGTGAGCTTAAATCCTCTTCTCTGCCTTTTCTGCTTATATTGATGGGATATTATTTTATTAATCTATCCAACGAAGTTCAAGGCAGAATTGAGCTAACAATTTCATTCTTGTCCCATACTTCGTATGTATGAAGCCAGTACCTGGGGATTAGTTTCATGAATGTTTCATATTCTTCATAATTGAGTTATACATTAGCAGAACTATTGTCCAGTAATAAAGTGGTTAGTACATTGTGGTTTATGATTTACTAAGGGCCATTCTTTAGAACCAATTACTTTTGCCACTCAAAAACCCAAGGTCTTATGAACAATTAAAGAGTTTTAAGAGTGCATATTGAGTCTGAGAGTTTTGTATTGCAATGAACCAAGTGTTATGTTTCGATCTAGTTGAATCCTACTAATAACAGATTAACAGTGGCCAGTATAAGAAGGAAAATGTCCAGACTGTAAGCTATTCTGATTAATCATGAGGCCCATATGGCTTGATTAATTTAGTATTTTTGTTTTGATTGTTGCTCATCATATTTATTTTCTGCAGGGATGCAAACCAGTGGAACGTACTGATATTATGGGTGGTTCAGCATCAGCCAGCCCATGCTCATCATATCAGCCAAGTCCATGTGCATCTTACAACCCAAGCCCCACAACATCGTCCTTTCCTAGTCCAATCTCATCCCATTATGCTGTCAATTCCAATAATAATGCTGATCCTAATTCCCTCATTCCATGGCTTAAAAACCTGTCATCTGGCTCATCACCGCCTTCCTCCAAGCTTCCCCACCATCTCTACATAGCTGAAGGTTCTATAAGTGCTCCTGTTACCCCGCCATTGAGCTCTCCTACTGCCCGAACTCCCAGAATGAAAAGTAATTGGGATGATCCAACTGTTGGCCCAGCCTGGGCCAGGCAGCACTATGCCTTCCTACCTTCTTCCACCCCACCAAGTCCTGGTCCTCAGACCCCGCCTGATTCAGTGTGGCTTTCTGGTGCTCAAACTCCCCAGGATGGGCCATCATCTCCTACATTCAGCCTTGTCTCATCAAACCCCTTTGCCTTCAAGGAGGCGTTATCAGCTGCAGGGTCTCGGATGTGGACTCCTGGGCAAAGCGGGACATGCTCTCCAGCAGTTGCAGCTGGTTTTGACCCAACAGCTGATGTTCCAATGCCAGATGTGATTTCAGCTGAGTTTGCATTTGGCAATAACACCAAGGGGCTAGTGACGCCATGGGAAGGAGAGCGGATTCATGAAGAATGTGTCTCCGATGATCTTGAGCTTACTCTCGGGAACCCTAGCACAAGGTAAGTGGGTATAGTTTTGTTGCCAAATGTATGCATCATAGTTAGATCATGGTAAATGTTGGTGTCGCTACTAATAATATGTTTTCGTATTGCAGATAGAGAGACAAGAAGTAAGGAGAGAAAAACAACCATATATTATCTATTTGGTTCACATCTTTCCATTGTGCGACTTCAACTATTGACTTCTTACTGTGTTGATACTTCTGAATTTGAGTTGGTCTGGGTGGCAAATCCCAGCGAAGTTTAAAACCCAGTATAGGGTTTGCTCTTTCTTTCAGTTTTTTTTTTTTTAAATACACAGTAAAATTATAAATAGTCCATGTGGTGTTTTTTTTTTTGGCACCTTTTTTCAGGAATGTTTTCTTTTATTTTCTTGAGGTTTTTTTCATTTTCCCTCAAAATTTTCCATTGCAGCACGGAGAACGAATATTGATTGCGTGGTTTTTTTTTTTTTTGGGAAATTGAAATGAATTTTTGGATGCCAAGATCAGCTGTGGGTTTGTGTTTCTGGTCACCCACGAATGTTTCTCTCATTGCTCATGTTTTGATGTCCTTACTATGAATTATATGTGGTTCCCTATTTGTACTTCATGTTTTCTCACTAACGTTCCTTAATTGGGATGGAAGTTGGCAAGTCGGATGAGTTCAAATATTGTTCCATTTTTTGTGGCCCAATATTGTTCAGACTGCGCAAGGAGTTGAGGAACCTTGATATGGTGGGAAGTGATTAAAAGAGAGGGGAAGAGGGATGTGTCGGTGTCAGTGGTGGTGTAGGTAGTGGCGGGGGAGGAGGAGGAGGTCAAGCCCCTGTTTTGTAGGAAGTGAATAAAAGAAAGGAGAAGAGGGATGTGTCGGTGTTGCTGTTGTTGTTGGTGGTGGTGGTTGGGGGCGGGGGTGGGGGAGGAGGCCACGCGAAGCCAATAGAGGTACGTGACTAGGGTAGAAACAGGAGAGTAAAAACTGATGCAATGGCTCCCACAAATCTTTACTACCAATTGTGTCTCAGAAGATCCATTGGAGAATGTACTCATCAGCCAATTCAGATTATTCCACAACCATAATTTAACGCACAATATTGCTTCGGGATTTAACTTTCAATGTCAAAATGCAAATTATTACTGCATGTCACTCCTCTCCTGTTGACGATTAAAAAACGTAACTTAACAGAAAGGTATGATCGATTATCGTCTAATAGAAAAAATAACTTGACTCGTGACAAATAATAAAGAAAAAAAGTGATTCATACAATCAATTTTACCATCCTAGTTGGTAGTCTAATGGTAAGCTCTACCCATTCAGAATTCTTCCTGACTCTCACTTACATGTGATTATCAAACAAAATTCAATTCACGAGAGTAATGCAATTTTTTACTTGACTTTGGTGGTAATGTGGTGACGGGCTGTTCTTCCAAAATTAATAACTACGGCTCAAATCGAACATTCCACAATGAGAAGATCCTCACCTCATGGTGTCACGCCCAAAGGAGTTACTATCTAATAGTTACCCCTCTCCTGTTTTCTCTGACCAAAAAAAAAAATATATAATGGATTCAAATTTCTTTTTAAGATTCTGTTAAATTGAGTTGTCTGGAAATGAAAGTGTCCAGAGCAGAGTTGACATGTAAGGGTAGATGGAAATGAAGAGCTTGGAACCATTAATCATTCCATTCGCACTTTGCACTTTTACCTAATGCAATCAAACGAAATGCTGCACAACAGTTTTTATATCAAAATATTTACATGAAGAAATAACGTGAACACATTTTCAATGACATTGCCTGTACAGTAATTCGTAAGAAATATTTTGGATACTAACAGGGATCCTTCATGAGAATGCCTCCTGACAATGTGTCCACAGGTGACTTCCTTCATTCTGGATAACTTGTAGAGTAACGTGTATTTGAATCGTTGGATCATGTTTTAATCTTCTGATATAGATCTGCTAGTGCACGATAGAGGATGGCAGCTGCGGGTGGCCTAGGCAATGAGCCACGAAGAATATCTGATGCATTTATTGATTGGCTGCCATAGAACCGGGAGTTTTCCCTTGCACGGGTTGTGACAATACTCCCTTCTAGTGAACATCCAACGAATGCACCTGCATCCAAAACAACATTTACATTAAACAAAACTGATAAGAAATGAAAGCAACAAAAATTATCACATTGTAAAGAATGATTGACCTATAGGTTTGTAGCAACTAAAAAGAATGGTATGCAAAGTAAATATGGAGTAGGTGAGACAGAACCACTGTTTGAAAGACACAATAAAACAACAGAAAAGATGTTCATATAAAACCAGATCATTTTGTTATCATCTGTTTTCAATATTTACTACTCTGTTGGCATAACTTTATAATAATTTGAAAAATGAAAGGCCTTCCCTTAATGCATGCCACTCCGATTTGCACCTCACCTTCAAAACAATGCATAAACTTGAGGTTCCATCCACAGACATTCCAATAATGGACATTAAAGAGTTTATAGATTTCAAACACTTAAGTAGCTCGAACTTTTGAGTTTTGATTATACAGGCAATTCATTCATCTTCCTCAAACATCAGCATGTTACTTCAAACTTTTCTCAACATCAAAAATCATTTTTTATATCCTCTATTTGATTTATGTAGCCATTCTGATTCCGATTTCAACTTATTTTTTTATGGTAAACTTTATACACAATTTGCATCATATATCAACAAAACGACGCATTTCAAATATAAGAAAAATCTACAAAAACCAATAGAGTGGGAGGCTTATTATGCTTTTAGGCAATCTTGCATCATTTTCAATTATGTCTCACACAAAAACAAGGAAGCAGAATGAGGGAAAGGCAAAAGGAAAATGAAGTGTCCAGTAGTACACCTTCCAGATTAAGACAATATAGGGGGATTAATTGAGGTCATCTTAGGTAAGGTGGTAGGCTATAAAAATCCTCGATTCCTTTTCTATCCTCTTCTCATTTTTTAACCATACTGTCTCTTTTTTGACTTGGCAACAGGGACGACCTAAGCATATGGCGTTAAGATTAGAGGGAAAAGCCACCTACCAGGCCCACAAGACTGGTATGTTCACTAGTTCAAGACACCAAAAACATTCTGTTTTAATGGCATAACTAGGTACCTTTACTGCAGCTATACGTATAACAAGCACCATAGCCACCAGTACCAGCTCGTACATCAGCTTCAGCTGTCCGTCCAACAATGCCAACAGCTGCGCTCAAACCAGCTCCAATAGAGAGATGCATATCACCACTAAAGGTCTTGATAGCATCATGAGTTCTCAAAATAATTATAAAGTCTGTCAGTTCTCCTCCAGCCTGCAAAGAACAATATTTAATAAAAGCAGAAAAAGAAAATAATAACAAATTTTCGATTCTGTCCAACAAAAATATTGCACTTCAACACCTTATGATCAAATTGCACAAAGTGCGCAAGTCACTAGAAAGTTGAACATATGTAAAGTTTCATAATTTAAGTTAGGCAGTCCACATTGAATTGCTGTTATTTAAGGAAAAAACATTCAGTCATCCCAAGGGGCCCCCACCGAGGCCTGAGGCTGGTGGAGATTCCAAATAGTGTATAGATACAAGGAGACGTTGAAAACTCAACTTTGCTATTTGGGTCACAAGACAAAGTATACCACCAGATTAAAAAAAATGTTATTGTAACTACTCTTATATCCTCCACATTTACTTCAAGATATGAGTTTGAGTAAATAAAGATAATATTCATCACAAGAAAGGCTCTCCTTGGAAAATGAATTACTTCACCTGAGCTCCCCATCCCACGCCAAAAGAAGAAATGGCGGAGGGCGGAGACCAGGAGCCGTCCTCTCTACGAGCAATCACCAATCCAGTTCCAATATTGTATGTAACCATCATCCCGACTTTTACTACAGTGAGGATTGCAAGGCCTTTTGCTTGTCGGAGGATAGTATCTGGAATTGACTTTTCAGGTCTCAGTCTACCAACCTGAGCATTTACATGCACAAAGTCAAGAATCACATGAGAACTTCGTGGATTAAAAACAATAAATTTACCAGCAGCATACATTTGAGATAATTATTCGCTTAAATGAAGCAAAATATCCACAAGTTTAGTCTCCTTCAAAAGCCATAAGCTGTGCAACATACTGTAAGTATCCAAACAGGACAGAGGAACAACCAAAGATGTAATAATGTTTTATCCACAAATTCAAACTCTGGACGGTTTTTTGTTGCGAGAGAAACTTTTACTTATCAAACCTCATTTTTAATTCAAATAGGAAATGCTAAAATATAAATACATGGCTTACAGTCCAATATGACAAAAATCCTACCGTTTCATAACCCCGAATGGTGTTTGCGGCTTTGTAAATCTCATATTCCATGGATTGGCCCCACGGAAAATTTACCCAGGATCTTAAAGTGCTCAAATCAGTCAGATCATGGGTTGGCATCTGAGCAGCATGGCTTACTTGATCCATTAAATATGGCTGGACAGACTCAAGACGCACACAACATACATCACAGACTCGTAGTGGGTCTGCAACACGAAATTTTTCTGGCAACAAGCTCCTTCCTTTAGTACACTCACTGCAAAAAATTCCTCCACAAAAACGACAGTGATGCCTCGTGCAAATAATAGGGTGGAATCGCACACTACACAACATACAAGCAGAAGCTGCACTATCAGGCAACCATTTAGGTGGCTCAGCTTCGAGTAATTCACGAGTGTTACCAAAATTGGCCTCAGTGAGAGTTTGAGCCATCTCTTTCCAAGCTTGCTCCATTAGCTGGCCAGATATCCATGAAATTTTACCAATATCACCCGAAGCAAAATCATTCACTTTTCCACGAGCCACAAGTAACAGTTCGGCTACCACATCCCACATGGTTAGTTCTTTATCTTCCCGACTCCACCCCATGTCTCCTAGAGGGAAGTACCCTCCATTTGAGCAGAAACCTCTAGCCCATTCTTCATGCTCACTTTCAGACATAGGAGGAACAGAAACAGGTATCCAAACCCCAGTTTCTTCATAGAGTGGTGAGTCATAATAGAAGTATTTTCCTTGTTTCTGATGGCAGGTATCTGATTCTATCTTCTCATTCATGTCCTCCTCTGTGTGTTGAGGTAATTCAGAACTATGTTCTTCAGTTTTTGTCATTTGAGGGGTCATGAGACCTCCTCTGTCATTATTTTCTTCACTTACGCCTTGAAGTAATTGAGTGTCGTACTCTTCAGGCTTAGCCATTTGTTCGCCCACAAAGCCACCATTCTCGTCATATGGCTCCCTTTTGTCTTGAGGCAATAATTCAGTATCACACTCTTCACTTTTAACAACGTTTTGACTCATGAAACCTCTCTTCTTATCATTTTCCTCAGTGTGATGATGTAAATAATAGTTACTTTCTACACCTCTAACCATTTGTTGACTCTCGAAAACACTATTTTCATCATTCTTTTCTCCCATGTTCTGTGGTAATAATATGGTATCACGGATCACACAATCTCTCTTCTCACCAATCTCCTCACTTGCTTGTTGAGGCAATTCAGGACCATGTTCTTCAAAATGAGCCATTTGTTTGCTGAAGGAACTAACCATTGCTTTTACATCATTGTGTTTCCTTTGTTTCTCAAGCGCCCCACGATCCTGATATCAAATTAAAGCAGACAAATCATGAAAAATGTTTTTATAAATCCATAACTTAATTATCTGGCTTCAAAAACATACAATTCTAGCTATCCAGTTAATGATTTGCAAAATCTAACTCCTAGAAGAAATATTAGATGAAAATTGACTGATGGAAATACAACAGCAAGGACCAAAACCTGATGATAAGGAGTAGGGAGGGGGCAGAGGCGGGAGGGAGGGAGCATTCAATCACCAAATAAAATGCTAAAATTGGCCTTTAAAGCTTTGCTCAAGCACTTGTTTTCTGTTTTCAGAGAACAGGAAAGTCAAAAGCATTTTGCTGAATTGCATGGTTAACTATGGTACCGAAACTCTGTTAAAAAAGGAAGATTATGATTTTCATGGTCACAAAAATAATGATGATAGAGGCAATTGTAGGGGAGTGGATCAGCAAACACGAAAAGTTCCCTGCAGAAGTTTCTCCCTCCATGTATATTTTGGTATGAGTGACAAAATATTAAAGAGCAGCATTCCCCCATCCGATGTAAATATATTTCCATAACAATTATCGTGTTACCCTTCAAAGGATACCTACAGAAGATATTTGGCATCCCAAATATCATCCTTACATTTCTTCCCCATGTGCATTGCATATCTATAGTACTTTAGTAAATAAATTCATGAGAAATACAGAAAAAGAGAAACCATTCATTCCCAAAAAATAACATGCATAACAGATATTAGGGACATGTGAAGAATGGCTCTCTGGACATTTTTTTTTTTGGGGGGGTGGGGTTGTTATTCTAATAGACAATTGGAATCAATGGTGCTGTGATTCAAAATTCGAGAATTTCTAGTGGAAATTGAGAATGTGGAGTGAACACTCAGTGACTTTAATGTTAAATCATATGCCTCTACACCTTTTCAGGCTTAATTATGCTATTTTCAATTTGCTTTTACAACCCCATTTGGTCTCCAATACCTGAGAGAGGGTGCTAGGAGAGATGGACCAAGTATAGACATAAGTTCTGACCGTTAGTTGCTGCGCTCTGATTTGAACCCAGAACATCAACCTCACCATTATCTGCGTAATACTTTTACTACTTAAAACTCAAAATATAGTCAAAATGGTGACCCTACACTGCTATATCCATAATTTCGTGATTTCAACAATCTAGAAATCACAGAAACAATCCTTATGTTATCATCCTACAGGAAGCAGCTCCAATTCCATCCTAACATTAATATGTCATAGAATTTGATATCTCCCTAGTATGTCTTCGTGTTTTTATGACGTTTTTTGTGTGGAAAACAAGGGTTTCTGTAGATGTAAATCAGCATATACAAATGCAAACAATAAACATAATTTACATCAAATTATTTCAAAATTTTGAATCTATCAAGCGATTACTTGAAAAAAAAACTCAAATAAAAACAAGTAATTGAACAGAAATTACCAACTGATTGTTCAAATTCGGGTCTCTGGTATCGTCGCTTATTGATAGAGTCGAAACCCTAGAATCCAACTGCTCGATTTCTCCTTCAGCTTGAGATTTCAAGTTAGAATCATATCCCTCCATCGATTAGGCATCTGTTTCACAGATTGTTTGTAATCGCAAGAAAATCAATGAACGTGGTCAATGGTTGATGTATATATGTCTAATTAGTTTTTTTTTTTTTTTTTTGAGTTTTTTGCGGCGTGAATATATTTATTTAAGATTTATTTGAGATGAAGTGTATGAATTAATATTTTATTAAATTTAATTTTAATAAGGTATTTTGTGATTAAATATAAAATTTATATGTCATTTAAATTTTTTTTATTTATTTACTTTTTTTTAAATTATACATAATTTTTATTTTTTGACTCCCTCACCCCTATTTATTTTCTATTTCTCATCTATTTTTTCTTTCTATTTCTTATTGATAATTTTTTTTTCTTCAAAAATGTAAATATTTGATTTAATTTTATAAACTTTCTCCTCTATTTTTTCTCTATCTCTTCCTCTCTTCTATTTTCTCTCACAGTTATTATCTCTTGTTATTTTCTCTCTTTATTTATATCAACATTACAACAATACAATTACACTAATCATTTTCACCAATAAGTTATAATTGTAATATAATACACCAAATACATATTCTAGTAAACCAAACATTTACTTTGCACATGAAGAGACATCTCTATACATATTTTACACAGCTATTTCTGTCATAGCTATCTATAGCTTACCCTTACTCTATCTTTCTCTCACACACCTTCTACTTTATTAATAAAGTTCTCCCGCCATCGTCGTCGCCTTCAAAGTGGAGTAGGTCATCCTAATCGAACCACTAAATATTTGTGTGTCACCTGTGCTGATCTCACCTTTATATGTACTGCATCTATTACTTATATTAATTACTCGATAAGTAGTGCATAACTATTTTTGTGCATCATCAACTGACATCATGTATTCCGTTAATTTTCTTAACGGATTTAGACAGAAAGGGTCTATGTGAAGCAAATTCAAATGACAAGGGGAGCTCATGTGAATTTTGAAACATCAGCATGTGTTCGTAAAATATTGTCAAACCTCATATGGTGTCCGTATATTTTATCTTAAATATTTTTTGTCCTAACCAATAGAACCCGTGCATTGCACGGAAAAATACAAAAGAATGTGACACACTGATAGTCCTATCATTTATTGAAATATGTCAAAATCCTAAAAACTTGTTCCAAGTTACATGAAGTTTCTATCTAGGGATGTCAATGGACTGATGCGGGACAAAAAGTGAAGTCTTCATTCTCATATCCACTTAAAAAAAGTTCGTTCATCCCCCGTCCACTCCTGTTAACGGGTATAGTTTTCTTCCCATCCCTGTCCGTGGATAAATTTTTAATCTCCGTCTCTGTCCCCGCTTCTCCCATACAAGCCCAAGCCCAATGATCATAATCTAAAATTCTAAATAAATTCAATATTTTAAATAATCCAACAACATTTTAACATAGTCTAATACAACATAATGTAGATTATAAAATGTAAAAGTTAAAACAATGTAGTATTCTATTTAAAGTGTCATTAGACCACAAAAAGAGAAATGAAACTATTAGAGAAAAAGGAAGAAAGAGAAAATAAAATTGAATTAAAAAAACGATAACACTACACTTGAAGTTTTCTTGAAGAATTTTTGTTATTACAGTTCATATTACAGTCAAAAAATGTTAAAAGATGAAATTTAAATTTCGCTAATTTAATAATTCTCCTCATTTCTTACTTCACTCTAGCAGATAAAACTCAGCAACCTTCATTCACAATATTTCTACACACGATAAAATACAAAACTATTTTACTCTCTCTTATCTGTTTTTAGAGCATGGTCAATCCAAACTCCTAATAATTTCAATCAATGAGCACAAATACAAAAAAGAACAATCAGGAAAAAAAGTTGAAAAGATTACCACATAACAATGTTATTTTTTAATTTGATTACCATATTTCTAGATTGATAGTTACAGTAAATATGTTTAGTTAGAGCTTGAGAGTATTTTTATTTATATATAAATATATATTTAATGGGTAGCGGGGGCGGGGAGAGGGTAAGGGTAAGTTTATCCCAGTACAAGTTTATACGGGTATCTCCGTATACGTCCATCGTCCAATATATATAGTCTATTCCCGGTCCAAACAGAATAAATTTGAACAAATACTCATTTTTTTTCGATCCACTGTCATCCCTACTTCTATCTATAGTATGTTTTTATTAGGGGTATATTAGCTGGTCCATTCCATTGGAGCGTCCGCATGCTCACCCGACCCAATGTCTATACAATGTGTCGCATATGGGCAAATTTTCGGTATCCTAACGAGTTTGCAGTTTTTTTATTGTTGCCGGAGCTATGGTATGGTTCAGGAACTACCCTAATTGAGTGGGACTCTTAAAAGTTTCCTTTTTTACCCCCACAAAGCCATTAAAAATACTGAAATGGAAAGCTTACAGCACTTGCATATTCTCTCTCTCTCTCCTCTCTCTCTCTTATGCTACAATGGCCATTGCCACTGCATTCAGGTTCTCCTTTTTCTTCCTTCTACTTCTCATCATCCTCGGAACCTTTCACTACAGACCGTCTTACGCTGTGGTTTCCGGTAACTTTCAAACAATTTCTTCAAATGATGGTTCAGATCGGAATCTGTTATCAGTTCAGAGTAACAACAATCAACGTCCAGACTGCAGCGAAATAGCGTCGAAGTCTCAGTGCTTCCACAGCCCCAATTGCCGGTGGTGCCGGAGCCAAGTTCTCGATGACATGTGCTTTTCCAAGTCCGAGGCCTGGCGATTACCATCTCAGGTCTTTTCTTGTAATTTGGGACAAAGCTAAGGTTTTTCTTTTGCTTGTTGAGAGTTTGTGTTTTGATCGATTGTGAATGGATGATATGATTTTCATGAATTCTTTCTGCAATTTCAGTATTGTTTATTTCATGTTTTGGTGTCTTGCATCCGTGGATTGGAACTCATTGAATGTTAACTCATGCTAATTGAGCTTATGAACTATGATGCAAATTCATTGAGCTAAATTTGGTGATATTATGGGATTTCAGGATTATTATGATGTTAATTGAGTTTGATTAGGTTCGAGAGGGTCTTATGCTACAATATGAGCAGAGTACATATAGGGTATAGTCCAAGTAAACCAAATCAGATTTTGACGTGTACCTTTTATTGGAAACCTACAAAGTTGCAGTCCTTTTTTTAAAAGCTGCTTATAGAGATATTGTGATCTTTAAAAATGAATCAGAAACACTAAGACAAAGAGCATGACATTTACTTGCACCATGTTGGAGCATTTTGCAGTAATTTGGCACCTTGTTTGTAAATAGTTCTCATTCAAGAATAATCAAAGAGCTTCAATCTCTGTAAATATACAATGTAACTTGAACAAGAGGGATCCAATCCCTAATATTGGGTTGTGTGACTTTTGCTGCAACAGATGTGGCATTTACAATAATAATTGATCAGGACTAAGCTCCTAACTGGATGGTTAAGGCCTTCCACAATGGAGTTGCAAGTTGAAGGTTCGATTCCCTTGTAGTGTAAACTTATCGTTGCTTATCAAAAGAAAAAAATTACAGTATTAATTGATCCATAACTTACAAGTTTAGGAAATTTATTTGAGAGTTCCTTTTGAACATTCTTTTAAAGGTTGAGATTTATCTGTTGTCGCCATTTACTTCCACTTAATCTTTCTTCTTTTATGGTGAAATTAAAAAAGAGAAAAAAATAAAGGAAGAAAACAGGATATATTCTGCAGGATTGTTAATAACTGCCATTTTAGTGATATATGTACTTCTCTTTATAAATAGATAACACTAGTCTTCACGGATAACTTATATCGTGGAGGGAGTAAATACTATTTTTTTTTTTTTCATTTTTTCTCAGGCATAGATGTTAATTCATTGAAATGTTTCCCAGGGAACAATTTAATTTAGAGTGCTGAGAAAGGATTCTCAGTTTCTAAAGTTTCATGGTTTTGGAGAAGGCAGGGTTTAAGTGGTTGGTATCTACAACTGGTCCGAGAAGTAAACTGATATATGTATTGACACTGGATTGTATGATTTTAGGTGATTGTCAATCTTGCCGGATACTTTGATCAGGTGGTAGATTTGCTGCAATGGCTTTACTGATAAGTTGATGGCTTAAAGCTGGTGTTTGGTTGAGGATAAGTTATGGAAAACTTGGCTTTCACATGCAGATGTTACATTGATCTCTTTAAAACCTTAGTAATGTTCCTAGCAATATTTTTTGGCGGTTTCTAGCTATATATATGCATGTCACCATTTGTTGTCGAAGGTTAAAGTTGGTTGCTGTCTGAGAGGATCAAGGTATGGTTTTGATTCGTAAGTGACCTAGTCATAATCGTCCGATGATGTTATAAGTGTCTCTTTCTGGCATCCATTCTGCATCCCACCTCCGGAACAAAAATATCTAACAGGATATTTCTGTGCACAATAGGAATTTTGAAATAGGTCAAGATAGCTGGATAGCTGAAATGTAAAGTCAACGTACCTTTATGTCCCTTGAAATCAAACCTATCCAATTTTACAGAGCGATGGTTGACTATTCACAGCCATGCTGATCGAGTCTCCAACATATGAAAGGTACATTGAGGATTACAATGTTGAATGCTCAATGCAACGATGCTCATTCAATCAAGAAGAGTCCCAAGTCTTTATTTGCAAGAATTACTTTTAAGCTTTCTAGAATGGAAGTATGAAATACATAGGCAGTATGGTGATCGGAGTACACCTTGATACGTCATAACTCGTTTCCCATGGAGCATACATCGCAAGAGCTTAATAGACGGGAGGAGAACATGTCATAGACAGCACAGAGGGTTTAGCTCCGAGTCTTCCAGCATTATCATCTGACATTTTGGGTATACTCCTATTTGTTTTGGAGTTGGTTCTCAAGTAGTCGAATCGTATGCTAAGAACAGGAGGGTATCCACCCCTTGGATGGAAAGTCAATCCATAAGTAGAGTAGGAGCTTTGCCAAAAACTCCCTATTACAACTTTTCTGTCCCTTGTTCTGTTTTTGAATTATGCATGTAGCGTCTTAAGCCTACTCAACAAAGAGTGAAATATCATCAAAACAACATTACATGGATGGACCACATTTGGTATTCAACTATTCGATGTTTCTTGGCAATGATGCTTGCTGTTCTTTTTTGTTTTTTTCAAAATGTCCAAACTAACTTAAGCGTACTTTAACTAATCCTCTTTCCAATATGATCAAAAATAAATCATTCACTGAGACTATGATAATCATGAAAAATAAAATCCATTTTTATCCCTCGTGACTTAACTATAATGAATTACCAAAATTTGAACTCTGAACATTTATTTTTATAACTCATCATTGTTACCACTGGAATTATACCCATAAGGTCGAAGTTTACTGTTCTTTGCATCTCTGTGTGTGTGTGTGTGTGTGTGTGTTTTTTGCTGCTGGATCCAGCTTTGTTTCTCTACTAGACATTAGGGTTGACTACACTAGCAGTCCACGGTTGTGTCATTTTGGTTCATCAGTTTTCAGTTGTATCAATTCGGTTTCTTACGTATGAAATCTGATTTTAAATGATCCCTCCATTGAACTACGTTTAAACTAGCAGGAATATTTCTTTAAACATGCTAAGAATGACAATGAGGACAACTGATACAGCAAAGTTGTAGTACCAAACCATATATACAGCAGAGCGGGCTATCTTTGAACTGGAGTGCCAGTGCTAGGAGAAACATCCCTCAACCTTACCTTTGGCATGATCATAGCTTTGCAGCAGAGTAGAGTAAAGAACAGTTCCATTGAAAGCACCATCAAGCTAATCCATATAAATATCGATTTCTTCCAATACCATAAAACCCTTTTTAGCAGGGGAGGTTCCGACTCAACTGTTAGAGATGCATCATATATCTCAGGGATACCAGCACCACTCTGAAATTCTGCTCTTTGTTCCATGGTCACCCTCAAGCAGGCAGTGGGCTCATGACCTCTTAAGTTAACCTTCACACTCACTGTTTGGGATTCTGATGAATAACCAGTGACAAGAGAAGTGATCTTTAGGAAAGTCAAGAGAAGGTGAATCGGCTGGCTTTTGAATTGCAACAAGCATGGATGCCTTGAACTTGCAAGGGCTTTGCCATCAGTAGAGAGCAAGTCTATCCGGACCTTCAAAGAAAAACACAAAGTAATAAGTCCCATAAACTTTCATCATTCATAAAATTTCACAATTATCTCTCCAAGTGAAAAAACAAACCATTGGTGACTTATAAAATTTTAAAGCGTAAAGTTCAGCATTTGGAAACCATCGAGAACCAAGAAACCCAGGGAATCTTGTAAATATGCATTCTTCTCTGCCAACTTCGACATTGGCAGAAACCCTCCCATGGCCATGCCATCTTGAGAACATGACTTGGCCTCAACTCAACGCAACTTAACTCTAGTAAACTCAACAAAGTCTTGTCCCAACAGTTTTAAGGTTAGTTATATACTTGTATGAATCCTATTTCCCCATTGTGCCTAGTAATTTCTATGCACAAGTGCTGTAGGTGTTTACATCGGTGTAATGCATTCTGATAAAGGGTCCACTAGATATCATCCATGAGAAACCACTCTTTTCTTTAGCACAAAAAATATTGGCGAATTGCAAACAGATTCCAGAAAAAGCTTCGACAATCATGGAAACAAGCCTACCTCATAAGTAGTACTGTGACACATTTGCCAAACCATTCCTGATAACGAAAGTGTTTGACACCAAAAATCAGTATATAAGAACACCCATCACAAAATTCTTTTGGGAAGTGTCACGTTTCATATGTTATTTGAAGATTTTCAGCCATCTGCTGTCTACTTATGTCAGCTGCAAGTCATCTTTTCTCCAAATTTTTGAAAAGAACTGTGTTTTATCAAGTCTTGAAGCAACAAGACAATATTTTACAACTTACAAGGATATAAGGCTTCCCAACATCAACTTCCTATGATGCAGAGTAGTTCAAGTGTTCGGGAATACCAGACACATCAGGAAGTTAATAACCTTTACAAACTGAATAATTTACTGAATTGCACAAATAGAAAAATTATCAGCACAAACGATGTTTTACTTGTAAGGGAGGACATGACTAGTATAAATTCTTGATATTTCACTTATGAACTCTTAACATGAATTATCCTGATTAGAAAATTATTGCTGCACTTTCAAACCAAACAAATTTTGATCCAGCTTCAATAACATAAACAACATACCTGGAACATCCCAAGCTTTCTGTTGTAGTCTGACTCCGGTAATGTCAATGAAATAGATACATGCAGTTTATGATCAGGCGGTATCACCTGCGAACCCTCAACCTTCCCAATTCCAACCTTTTCTCCACCATTCACACCACAATTCACACCCAAATAATCTGATATTGGCACAAAAGCAACGGGACTGTTCTTTGTATAATCAAAATTCAAATTCTCCTTCATCTGAATCGGCTCTTCCACTAAATACCTCATCACAAACCCACTTGACACGAATGCTGACATTAGCAAACCAACCAAAACAACACACACATAAACTGACCACAGGAATCCCCAACCAAGCCTTAAAACCAACTTCCAGATTGATTTATACTTTTTCAACCATTTATATACAATCGGCGAAACACAATTGCATCGTAAACCCGATATTCTCAAGAGTTTCCCAATCACATACTGTTTAACACTCCTTACGGCCCAAAAAGGATCCATCACAAACTGATATGAGCAATACAATAACCATATTGGAACCGCAAAGAAACTAAATAATAAAATTATTTGAAACCCAACTGCTTTGATCACTAAATTAGCCACAAAAATTAGAAAGTTCGATGAAGTATCAACGGTTTCAGCTGAACGCGACTCAACTGAAATAGATCCATCAATTCTTTCCTTATTCGCCGTCGTAAGTGTAGACTTTTCTTTATTTTCTTTATTTGGCTTAATTGAATCCGAATTTTCACTTTCCTTCTCATTTTCTTTCAAAATCCGTGAAAATCCGTACTTTA